CGGGAAGGAAGGGGACTTATATAGGTTCAACAGGAAGGGAGTGGTTATTGCTAGGGTGATTTAGTTCTGGCCTATCAAAAGCCATGTTGCCCTTTAAACTACACGCCTTGTAGCTTAGGGCGGGGAAACAGACAAAATGGAGTTGGAGGGAGGGGAGAGGGAAGAACTGGAAGGTATTGTAACATTGTAACATTTTCCCCTCTTTGGTTAAATAAGAAAAATGAATGGCCGTTTCTATGATCCATGCCCATGGGAGAAGGGATGAAGGTCATTTTTCTGTAGCTACTTCCTGCTGGCATTGGGGCGACAAGGCTGTCTCTGGTCTTTGGTCTTGGACCACGGTTGGGGATGGCATTGTCGTTGTTGGCGGTGTTGTCAGTAGCCATTGGGCTCTTCAATGGGATACCAAGAAGTGATGGAACCAGGTCAGCAGCTGGACTGGGCTTAGACCCACAGTTCTAGGTCTTCGGAACATGCGATCGAACAAAACGAAGAACACAAGGGGCAACTGCCAGTAAAGTAACTAATAGTGGGGTTAGAAAGGAAAGCAGGGAATTTAATAGAGGATTGTGGAACCAACTAGCAAAACCTCCATTTATGGGAAATGCTTGCAGTTCCAGTAGCTATGCCTGCCCTAATACCTAGCAATGCTACCAGGGGTAGGATTGCTACTTGGATTGCCCTCTTTTTCCGAAGCCATGCTGAGCGTTATAGTTAGGAGGGGGTGATGGTTTGACTGTCTTTTGAATCTTGGTTTCCCTGGCATACCATTATAAAGTAGACACTTGAGGGGGAGAGAGGAGTAGCCAGAAATATCACCACAGAAAGCTTTTAAGTCCGTCTTCTGCCTATAATTGATTGGAATACCTAAAATGGCGCTACAATGCGCCCAGTGAAGGAGGCTTCCTTCAGAGCCTCTGCATTACATAAGGACCATAGGTAGACTCCAGAACCCCATCCAGAATCTTCTGAGGTGGGTAACTTCCACTTGAAAGGACAAGCAGACCAGTTTGGAG